TTTGAACCTTTCTCTGCTTTCAGAATGGTTTCTGTGGGAAAACTGTTCATCCCTGAAAATGCCCATTTTACCTCACGTCTTTGTTTTTGGCCAGCTAGCTCTTCTCATGCTGGAAATGTAAGACATATGGTTCATAGTCAAATATATCCCTTTTCCTCCCTGTGCTGTTGCATGCTGTGCGTTCCAGCAGGTGCTACTTCTGCTCTTCCCTAAAAACACAGGAGTGAATTTTGTGTTGTTGGCACAGTCCTCTAATATACATTGTCTCTCTTTGGGTGTCGTATACCTTAGGTATGTTTGTCTCACGGTGCTCTTCTTGTGTTGGGTCTCAGTCAATGAGTAGGCTTCTGCACCAATTTTTGTCTTCATTAGCAACGGAGGAGTCTGCCCGAAGTAGCCAAGCAGCTCCAATGGAATTCACTCTGACACGGAATTGAATCAAGCTTGAGACGAGTCTAATAAAATCTAGACTATCTTTTTTGTTATTACAGGAAAAAAAAAAAGTGTTCTGCTTTACATTCTTCTACTTAAGTTTTTTAAAGAGTTTAATAATCTTCAGAATTTTTTAGATGATAAGGTACATTGATGGCAAGCGGAAAAAATGAGTTGGAGCTGGGGATTTTTTGTGTGTACGCACAGTGTTTCTTTCACTTGTGAGTTAGGAATGATTATTATGATGGAAATAACTGACCATATAAGTCTGATTTACTTCATCATAATATGTAATTTGTATTAGAATATCAAGTATGTTTTGCAATATTTGCATTCCTGGAAACTGCATGTTGCCTGGTGATCCAGGACTGCGAAAATAGGGAGGGTTTGGTGCAGGCAGTTTGAGAGAGCTGAGACTAGTGATTAGTCCTGCAGTTAGAGAAAGAATAAAGTAAAATTATTATTTCTGTAATTATTCTTTATGAAAGTAAGAAAAGTGTTATCAAGTGCTATATTAGTCCATTCTACAGCGGGTTTCCCTGATTCTTGTAAATTATTCTTCGTGATAATATTGCCCTTAATTTTATCTGAAGGGTTTAATGTGCATTGTGAATAGAGTTCTGTGCGGATGAGTCTTACTGCTGTATCTTGTTTCTGTGACAAGTGCTGCTTATATTTGGTATCTAGCTAGTAAATCAGCAGCAAAATCTATGGATATGGGAGTAGCCCAGTCCTCACCTAAGTAATCATCTATATTACTGAATTTTAACTGTTGGCATAGAGCTATGCTTTAAAAAAGCAAAGAACATAAAACACTTGCTTTATTTGGAAAAGCTTGATGTTATGGGCAGGCTTCTTTTCTGTCCTTGAGGCTTCTTTCACTTAATTTTTCCTTTGGATTAATTTACCTGTCTCTGCATATTTAAATGACAAACTGCACGATCTTTTCTGAAGACAGCAGTTGCACAGAGGCCTGATTATTTCATATGCATGACTGCTGCTGCTGGATTCGTGCCATTTATTACAGTAGGTGACTGCCTCAGCATCTTTCAGCGTTTCTTTCGTATAGTATTTTTAAATGGCTTTGTCAAAGTGCCATCTGTCTCAACAGGAGAAAATGCATAGCTTATTGAAACAGATGGCAAATCAGATTAATACTGCCCGAAACCATCGTTTGCTTGCTTGGATGTTCATAAGGTAATGTCCACTGGATTCGTTGTGTTTGCTTGGGAAGCAGAAGAGCAAAGTCAAGAGACTTTTTTTTTTTTTAAGAGCCTCTTTTTGTACTGTTTTGAATGTATAAGTTAGGCAAAATTACCTCTTTCAACATTGTTATTTTTTATTCTGTCAAAGAGTTGAAATGTTTTCACAGTTACGAATAATGTTCAGTTTCTATTTGTGTAAAACAGGTCATTAATAAGCAGAGATCTGCAAACTTCTCTTGGGTTTCTGGGCCCTGTTGGACTTCATGTTCCTGATCTTCCTTAAATCTGACTTATTTTCTATAGTTATGAACTGTAAAATGCTGGAACAACCGCTTGCTTCTGGATATCACTGTGAGTGAGTGTTCCAATCTGCATTTGCCAAGAACTTTCAAAGACTTTAAGAGATGCTATATGAGTTCATGTTATTGCCTTTAGAAAAGCCTCTAGCATCTGCTTAGAGAGAACTTCTGCATGAAGTACTAAACTTAACAGAACTCTGAGGGATTCTGATGCACAGATTTTTACCATAAAATGTTCCTGCTCGCACTTTACCAAAATTTCAGTGAACGTCGTTGCCATTTTCTGTTGGAGTTCATTCACCTGCTGGAGGCTTCCAAGTAGAGATATTTTTTGAAATCTTTTCCTGGCCATTAAGATGATGCTTTTTGGGGTGGGAAGAACATACTGGAAGTTGTGTTTAGTAAATCTGTATGCTTCCCAGCTATTTGTTTAAGACTATAAGAATTAGTTCAGTCTGCCCTTACCTATACATCAGTCATTCTGAAGAAAATTCATATGCATCTCATCCTTTTAAATAGCTGGGATTACCTCCCTGTAAATTGAGAAACGTTGGTCTTGTGACTTCAGATGCCTTATGTTGGCATTTGTGTCTAATGTCTGTGTTTGTTGGTATTAAGAACTGCTTATTAGTGGGTTTATATATTTTTATTAACTTCTGCCTGTAGTCATTTTGCAGGTAGCTACATTTCCAGAGTTTTTTTTTATATGTGTGTATGCATACATACATATATATATATAAATGCATTATAATATAACTGAATCTGAAGCTTTTAAATACTTTTTATGTTTCCATCTCTGATGAAGTAATAAAACTGCACTACAGCTTTCTGTAACATAAAAAGCAGTTAATGTCTCTGCTGCAAACTGGCAAGCCTAATTTTTGTGCTCTGAAAACTTGGAGAACATCCTAGTTCACTTAAGGTCTCTGAGTGTGTTCAACTTTCCTGTCGGATTCAGTTCATCAGCATGAAAATGCTATAATTTCATCAGTTAGATGGATAAAGAGCTGCTAATGCTGGTGATGACTTTTCCAGGGTAGGGCTTTTTGAAGATAGGACTGTTCTAGCGATGTTTTGTTCCACAGAATTTTTATAAGTGTAACTTATACCCAGCTAAGCTCCTGATATCTTTTTGTTGTTAATAAATTAAAAAAAAACAGACATCTTTGTTAAAAATGGTGCATTCTTGTGCACCATTCTTGCCTTTCAGACTGTTTTCTGATGTTTTTGCAGTTTATCCTTATCGTGCGCTGCCCACGTAATACACTTGTCTGCTAGAGACCACCTGTGCATGAAAGGCACGTTCGCAGCTGAATTTTGTATCTTTGAAAATCAGCAATTACAGAAATCTTTAACGCATCACTTTTCTGTTCCGCTTGCCCGGGGACGTGATCCGATGCTGTGAGACTTGAGGCTGCTTACATCACTTTGTGTCCATAACTCTGGTGTTTTACTTCTCTGTGCCGGTGGTGATAAATACTGCGCAGCGAATGCGAATGGTTCTATTTGGTTAAACCGATGCACTTGCAACTGATGTAAGTTTTTGGAGCGTGGCTTTGTTTGGGAGCAGAAAGAAGTGTTCCACTTCCAGTGTTTTCAGTGTTTGCTGCCCAGTTGAGTCCCTCTCGACTTAAAATCGAGCAAGGTATTTTTAGTGCTCTGTGTGCAGTCTCCATATTTCAAGCCGTGGACTAGACTGAAATAGCAACCTTCATGTTTTCACTCCTCTTCGCAGACAAATAAGGACGTTCTGCCAGCATCTCCCCACCCGAGCAGTGTGCACACGCGCACGACGTGCTCCTTTGCCGTGCCTCCAGCGGGAGATGGGGGGATCTCCAGAATTTCTGTGGGTAGAAGAAAAGTTCCAAATCGGGCAACTCCGGCTGAGTCAGAGGCAGAGCTGTGCTGCGCCGGAGGCTGTTGGTACCTTCCCTCCCTCAGGTGGCAAAACACTTGGGACAAGGAGGATGGAAGATGAAGATGGTCGTGCCCTTCCAGTGTCTTTTAATCCTTTTTAGTTTGGCAGCAATAAGTTCTGCTTTAATACTAGAAGCAATATCCAGTGCAACATGAAACTCCTTTCTATCAGATTGGTTTCCTTCGTAAACTGGAAACTCACGGGTTTTTTTCAGTTATTCTACAAGAGTTTGTGTAAATCTCTGGGGTAAACGGAGCAATTGTAGGGATGGATCATTGTTTCTGCAATATGGGAGGCGGGGATGCAGTCACCAATTCTGTGTCAGTGTTACAGTTGAGATACTGATTGTTGCAACAGGAGAAGTTTTTCTGGCATTTCATAGTTGGCTGTAAAACTGATTAAAAACCTGTCTATAAGAAGTTGAGTACAGAAAAAGAGAAATCGCTCAAGCCTTCCAAGGATCTTATTTGTCATCATAATCTCACACATCTATTTTTTTAAATGACATGTTCTCTCTATGGTGCTGTATTTTAGGCTGTCCTTTTCCCAGCGATGCAACACAAACTTGATTAATGTGTGACAGCGAGAGGGAAGGGACATGTGTTATCAAGGTCTTTCTTTTATAGATGATGTGTTTTCTGTTTCCCATAACCATCACTTAATTCTCATCCAACTGGTGTTACTATAGAAAGAACTTGGCTTGCTAACCACCATGAAACAATGTTTGGTAAACTGGCACTGAAGCAGTGTTTTGAGATGTTACGACCTGGAACCGAGTCTCAGCTTTTATTTTTAATTATACTTTTTGAAGGGATGGGCAGGAATGACCAGAATTAAAAAGCAATAAAATTAGATACTTGCTTCTCTAATACTCCTTTCCAAACTGTCCTGGGCATCTGGTACACATCAGGCTCAGTTAACATTAATTAGCCATGAATCATGGAGCCCAATCCCCTTTGTCATCTCCAAAGACTCTTATTACATGTACCAGATCTGTGTAGTAAAAAAAAATGACAACATTCTGAAGACATTCTAAGGGCAAATTTGTTAGGGTTTGTATTACAGCAATCATTGATTTAATAATCTAAAATAATACTTAGTGCTTGTTACTTTTTTTAACTTCTTTTTTTTTCTTTTGGCTTTCAGCTCAGATCGACTGATAGAAGAAACAATAAGGTAGGAATGAACTTAATTAATTTTCATTATTTTCTGTATAATAAGCATTTACATTTAATTGTGTCTAAAGATATCAGTCGTTATTTATACAATAACTGTATTGTTTACAACTCAAAGGCGGTATTACAGTGAAGGGGTGGTTGGTTTTGGTTTTTTTTCTATTCAATGTTGACATAATGGTATTGCTTAAATATTTTGTTCATCCTAGTTTAGAAAACAGGCGTTTCTGTTCAAAAGTGAATAGCCCCTACAAAAACAAAGGGAACGATCGAGCAGAGTGAATCTCAGTTGAGCTCTTGAGGGCTAATCCAGTAGCCAAGCTGTTTCATCTCACAGTGACACTCTTCTACAACATGGTTTTCTGTAATCCTTCAATATATTCAGCACTCTAGTGTGCAGCTGCTACAGGTACGGGCTTTTACCACAAGGGCTGGAGAGGTTATTACTGTTGTATAGTTTGGGTTTTTTATGTGGTTTGGATACTTGAGTGATACCTTCTCTGACTGATCTAGAAATTATAGAACCGTAGTGTCATATCTTTAAGGTCCCTTCCAACCAAAACCATTCTATGATCTGTGCCCTTCCCAATCTTCCATTGAACTCTGGGGTTTTACAAACCAGTAATTCAGAGTGCCTGACTTAATGGTTTTAAATTTTAGATTATTGCTTTTTTAAAAAATAAATAAATAAAGGAAGAAAGCAAGCAAGGTACGCTTTCAGATAATGCATCTACTGGCATAAATGATCGAGAAGAGTAATTAGAGGTGCAGCAAGGCTCTGTGCCCATTAAGGGCTGGCTAGCTTAACTACACACAGCGGGCTCAGGATAATTAACATGGTGAAGGAATGTGTTAAACCACATTAATGTGCAGTGATGAACCAGAAGTGGTCAGTACAATAATGTCTGAACATGTGAGTGTAATCTCACCACAGCCTTGTATAGATATTTGCCAAACTTAGCAAAGTTACTGTGAATATTTGTTTTACTTTCGGTCCTAGTCCTTCCCTGATTACAAATCCTCTTCTTTATTGCCGTGCCGTGAAGTTTTCCATCTCGTAAAAATGCTCAGCGTTTGTTGAATCTCTTATTTGCTGCTGCTCTAGTAACTAGAGCATTAAACAGCATATGGTGATTTATTAAGCTTAACGTCCTGCAAAATGACTCGTATTTTATCATTTGAGCTCTTCGCTTAGCGTCTTGATGATGTGTCATCAGAGAAGCTGAGAGTTTGTGTGATAAGTGAACCTCCGTGTCGATTCGCCTGTGCAAGGGAACGTGGCCGTGGCAAACTGGAGCCCGGAGCTGGGCAGCGACCTCAGCGTTCACCCAGGTTCCTCAGTTTTGAGCCTACTCAGAGGCTCCGTGGTGCCAGCAGTAGGTGTCCTGGCAGGTTTCAAACTGTTTTGAGTTTCACGTGCATGAGCTGCAGTCCCGTGGTTGACCACAAATGAACCATCAGTCGAAGCCATCGGTGATGGCTACTGATCAGTAGTCCCTACGGCACGGCTTTGTGCAGAGCTCCTTGGTGCTGTTGACTGAAAGCGTTCCTTCTGTTTATAAATTAACTCTGATTCTTAAGAGGCTGGATTTCAGCACTCCTTGTTGCACCGTTTATTATCTGTAGTAAATTAACTTCTTGTTGCAGATGATGCCAAAAATGTCCTACATTTCTTTTTGTAGAAAAAGAGCTTGTTTAGTAGCTACGTTGAGCAGGAAATGTAATTTCATTTATATCATCTTAATTTAATTCCGACTGTTGAAACTGAAACCAGGGTGAATTTTTTATTTTATTCCTTTTCTTGTCATCCCCAGTAATTGCAGCTACTGAGGTATGATATTAATTGGTGGTAAACCCTGCTGCGTTTTAAGTGAATTCAGCAGATAAAAATTTACCCAACTTTTGGTAATCAATTGCTTTATCTATTGTAAACCAAGTAAATGAAGGAATTGGGCAGGGGAAGCTGTTTGAATGCAGATTCCGTGCGTGAAGTGAGACATAATTAGCTTATTCTGGCTGCTAATACTGCTCTGTCTTCAAGGTTTACATCTGCTGTAGTTCATTACTCATAATTTGGGTGTAATTCAGGAGGTTAAGAAACCACTTTTTTTTTTTTTAGGGATTGTTGTTAAGCAGTGATCCTAAACATTGGAAAGCATTTTCCTGTGCGTGCAGAGAAGCTGTATTCCAGTGACCCCGTTGCCAGGGACTCTACAGTCAGCACTGATTGTGCAGCCCTTACTCTTAACTTTCTCTAGAGAAGGGAACCCAAGAGGTGCAGAGCCTGACTCTCCCTGCGTGTGGTCCCTCCATGGGAGCAAACATATGTGCAAGAGAATATATGGGCACCTAAACTGAAATTATTCAGTAACTAAAGCGATGAGCAGGGCTGTCACTCCAGATGTTTTGTTAGTACTAAACTTTTAATCAATTTTCAGATGAATGACGTGACACGGGTTCTTACTGCAGCATATCTCCTTCCAGAAATGAGTGGGATGTGATACTTTGTACTGCAGTTCTTTTGGAACAGTGTTCACTTGTCTTGGCCATATTTAAATATGAGCATAGATTTTGCTTAATATATTTGGTGTTCTCGGGTTTTCATTGTCAAACATTATCACTTCTCCAAAATAGCGAATGATTTCTTTCTTGTTTTCCAACAACTTATATTTTAAGGTTGGCTCAGTTTGAATTTTTTATTTATAGTTTTGCTTGTACCGTGTGACAAGTTCTTAGGATTTTATTGTAATACTATTTCTGAGGCCTGATTCAGGCTGATTTGTCAGTGTTTGTATATTAACTGATTGGACTACTCCACTTCCACTCTGAAGCCTGACCAAACCCATTGATTTAATTAAAAAAAAAAAAAAATTGTCTCCTTATATATTTGGGGTATTTTTTTAAGTAATAATTAGGATTTAATAAAAGGGAAAAATTCACTTGCATTGAATCTTGACTTTACAGAATGCAAAGGCTTGAATTAGATTTTGAGTCTTTGCTCTTTTCAGGAGAGCCTTGCCAGAGTGTCTGGGCAAAATCACTTGCATTTCTGGGGAAATGTTCCTTTTGTTTTCATCTTAGGCTTCATCAAAAAACATAATCATCCATTTGAAAGATTGTGTGTGTGTGTACGTATGCATATATATATATACACACACATGTGTATATTTATAGATACAAATATATATGTATGGATGTATACACACAGAATAAGTGATATAATCGGAATTTTTATGGATTTAAAACTAGAGCTTGCATTTCTATGCGGAGTCACAGAGCCCATTCCCTTAATCATAGACATTGTCATGAATTTAAATGAGCAAGTATGATTCATGGAGTACAAAATGAAGCAGAAGTTCCAGTAATACATGAATTATTTGATTTTTTTTTTGAAAACATGTTTTGTTCCTTTAGAGTTTTGTTTTAGTTCTTCATCAATATAGATTTGACTGAGCTGTGTCAATGGATGAAGCAAGGAGTTGACTTTTTGGTAGGTTTCACTTGATAATACGCTGTATGTGTATGGATGCTGTGTGGGGTGAAAATACCCAACAGCATAAACATTTGTCTAGGTAAAAACACTTTGCTTTCAAGTTAAGCAGCACTAAAAGTGTAGCTCTGCAAGTTAGACCAGTTTGGCTGTGATAATGGCTGGAAATGTTTATTACTCTGTCCTTTTTCATGCCAGCAAAAACTGCGAACTATGTACAAATATCAGATATTTTACTTTTGAAAAGAAATTTGGTTGCTTGCATGCCCACAGCACTACTGAACGTTCAAGGACAAACTTGAAATGTAAGTGGAATTTTGAGGAAATATGGCTGCAAGCACAGGAATTTGAGATGCTCCTGCTGATTTGTGGAAGAGAGGGGTGGGCTCTTTGTGGCTGTGATCTTGGGCTAAAACCAGAAGAGATTTGTCCAGTAGCACAGTAATCTCTAATGTTGTGCTTCAGGAGTGCTTTCATATTAAATACAGAGAACAGAACACCATCTGGTTTTAGAAACTTGGTTGACACCCAACTGTAGTAGTTGAAGCCAGTGCAGCACCAAGAATAGTTCCTCCTAGTTTCCAAATGAAACACTGAATCGGGGTCATCTTGATTCCAGTAAGCAGCATTTAATCTGTTCTCCTAAATGTTGTGTAGAAGTTTCAAAACGTAAGAAAAAGGTGTTCTTGATCTGGGGAGATTACAGTGTGGCGTAACTAAATGGGGCCAATATTGTGAATGGGAAGAATATGATTAATTTTCTTAAAAACGCATTTGTCAGTGGAGAAATGGCAACAGTGTGTCAGTGAGCATATGTCAGGGATGGGAATGAGACCAAAACTGTCTAACGAAGGAATATGAGGAAGCTGCAATGCCTAAGACTGTACAAAACCAGTCAGTGGACTAGTGCCCAGGAGCTGTGTGTTTTCTGGTAGTGCTGAAATTTAATAGTCTTATTTACAGATATAAAGGCTTAGGTAAACCGGCTCATGTTTTGAGTGATCAAATTATACATGAAGAACAGTGCTTTTTACTTAAATTTTGACTTGTTAATGGCAGCTAGAATCCAGTTAAACTCTTGTTCATGGATATCACAGTTGCATTTCATTACTAGACTGTATCATATTAAGAATGGTAATCACTACAGTTACATTTTTCTTCAGAGCTCTTCAGTAAAACCTAGCCATTGAGCTGAATTTTTCAAAACACTGGGTGAAAGAAATTAAGAAGTTTCCAATCTTGTGACATTTAAACTTAAACAGTTACATCGTGCCTTTTTGTATGGAATGGACAGTTTCACTCCTGAGATGTTAAAGCAGGAACCTTGTGTTCCGTGATACTCTGTAATAATTATTTCCAAAGGCATTTTGGAGGTGTCTCAGGAACACTTTATATCTTGGCAATGATCTTGTATTTTCACTTCTGTAAATTAATGGATGCTCTAATGAGTCATTGGATGCATTTTATGAAAACACGTGACTTAATTCAGGAGTGCTTTGAGAAATGCTGTATTAAAACTTCATCTGGACAAGTAGCAAGTCAGTGTGGGGGTGTAGGATAAGAAGCAGTAGGTTACTGAGCAAGCTATCCTGTGTACAGCTAGGAAATTCTTTTTTCCAACTTGGTTCCTAGCAATTCCAAATTCCCTGAGTGCTCTTCTCAATAGCAAATGTAATGTTGTAGCAAGCTCGTGGCTTTCTGCTTTAGAAAACTAAAATACCTCTGTGCTGAGTTGTAAATGTGTATAATCTGTCAAATGCCCTATCTTCTCACGGATGATATGGTTTGATGTATTTACCGTTACGATTTTGTCGTTTCTTTTTCAGCCCTTGATGGTAATGCCTTTTCTATATTGATACACAGCTGTTTGTTAAAAATTTCTGTTAACACCTTCTCTTAGGTGCTTTTCTTTGTATACTAATGCACTGTTGGGGCAGGCAACGATGTGATTCTTCTCCTCCAATCTAATTTCCACCTTCGTTTCTTGAAATTTTAGCCTTGAAAAGACTGTCCCGTGTAATCCAATAAATCATTTGCATTTATGGGTTAGATGAGTTAGTACATCCACAGGAGCGAGCACACACAGTGTGCTGAGTGGCAGCACTGCAGAGCCTAAGAGGAGAAGCTTTGCATGCTTTTTTCTGCTCTTGTTGGTTAATGGATTCTGGCAACTCCTTTATAAACGCCACGGAGGTCCCTGTTGTTTCCAGTTAACCGTGAGTTTCGTTTTCACTTTCTGCTGATTTGGCCCTTCAAAAGTATAAAAGAAAAAAATACTAAATAGCTGGCCGCAAATAAAAAATGCTTGAAGGTTTTTCTTAGTTCTGCCCTGAAACTTTCATTTATTTATTTATCGATTAGATCTTATGCTTCAAAACTTGGTGTTAAAATGTTAAGTCTCCTCTGACAGAGCTACTGATGGAAAATGTCAGGGGTTTGCCTACATGTGGTCAAACTGTTCATGTTCTCTTTATGACTGATGAACTCCCGATTTCCATGTACCAAGTTTACAGAATGCTAATATAACCTTAAAATAATACATTCATCTCCCTGTCAATGCATGCTGCTCTATTTAAAAGAATTCACTGTATAGAGCTTTTGGAAGAGTCTGTACTGTGACCTGAATGCTACAAGAGCCATAGGGCGGCCCTTCTGCCACCAGTGTCTCACATATGTCTGTGTGATGAACTTGTCTTGTTCTCCAACGTATTCTGCTACTGCTGAAGACAAAATCATATCGCATACAACATGGGCTTTGACTTGGTGAGCTCTTAGCTTTTATGGGCAAAACCAGAGTTGGAAAAGTCAGCCTCTAGCTGAAGAGGTGGTAGCAGATTTTTTTTCCTTGCCCCCCCCCCCTTTTTTTTTTTTAAAGTTTGCCTGGCACTTCATAGGAAGGCTGAAGATATTGTATCAAGGGCTACTTGAGGTGGAGTAGGCAGGTGTAATGGAAGGGAGCCCAAAGGAACTCACTGCTCCAGAAATACTTAGGGATCATTGATCTGGGCTGTTTTCTTCTTTAAGGTACTTGTGAACTGTGATACTGACCTTTCGCTGTAAGTCTTGATGAGCAATTGTTAGGCTTGGCTCTGCTGATTTTGTCTGTAGTGTCCTAGTAGGGAAGCCAGTCATCCATCAGATGATCCAGAGATGGTCATTCCGAATGTTGTTTTTTTCAGAGAGAAACGTGAAATAAAATATATCAAATGGTCTTTGTTATAAAAATGTCAGGAACGCTAGTTCTGTGTTTAAGAAGCGTACAAATATAATATGTGTCTGTGACTTTTCCCAACAGATTTACCTGGAAAGGTGCACTAAGGTGGATAAAGGTCCTTTTTTATCACCTTCCAGTACTGAAATGCCAGGTCAACCGAAGTACTTGAGTACTAATATCTGGACAAATGGTGTTTCAACGTTTTAACTGTTTACAGAAAGATAAGCCCAAAGCCCTGAAACCCGGATGAATTCAGTACGGAGCAGTGCTTGGGAACCAGATGTGTTGAGCAAGTTCCTTCAGAGGCCAGTTTATATTGCAGAACTTGAGAACAGCGTTAGGCTTGCACTGTGTGTTTGTGCTTTGTACCTGCCCCTCCTTAGAAATAACGCTCACGTTAGCTGTGATTTTTGTGTCCCGTTTGTGTACAGACACTGTGAGCAAAGATAAAATGCTCTTAAAAATTGATGTCTGTATTGGGTAGAAGAAGCATTTTGCATTTTCCTGTCAGTTTGTTCTCCTCTGAAATTACAGCGTTACTTCCCTTCTCTCATATTTCTATCTATTGTATTGTGTCGTTCCACTTAACTTTTATTCTTCCAGAACCCTTTCCCTCCATATTTATTAGCTTTTCCAAGAATTTGGTTTAATCGTTGTTATTCGTATGGATACAGTCAACAGCAATATAGGTGTCATTTTCTGAGTTATCATCCAGCCATGTTGTATTTATGTCCTGCTTTGTTCATTTTTGACATGCACACCAGCCAAGGGGAGCAGTGTTTGTCAAACTGTTCCTTTTTAAGCACCATCTCTCCAGAGCCTCAACTTTATGTACTGCTTCTCTAGATGTAAATGAGCCTGTGCAGTTTGCCTTGACAAAGCTGTTGCATTTGAAGTAGCTACGTGAAATACTACCAGGGGCTACAAGTAGTGGCCTACCCTTTCATTTTCCATCCTATAACTCTTTGTTTCACAAGCTGAAGAGAAACTCAAGGTAGAGAAAAATTTTTGTCAGCTGAGTAGTTCTTCAAAATCTTGATTTAAATGTCTTATTTTTAGGAGCACAATTGCTTTTTTCCAACTTCCAGAATGTATTCAATTTGAAATGGGAAATTCTGTTTTATTTTTACCTGTATTGTGTCCTTGTCTTCGGATAAAGTACGTACAGCTGGACTGTGTGTTAGTGAAACAGAGTATGAAAAGTTATATATCCGTGGATGATAATTAGGACCAAAACTCAAAAAGGTATTTTATCTGTGCTGTGACAGAAGCATCATTTGGTGTGATTTCATTACCCACCAGCTCCCTCAACTGCCATCTTACGGAAAAGTCAGGTGGGGCTTGCTGGGAAGAGACATTAATGCAGGAGAATCCAAGCTTTGCCCACTTACCTGGAGTCAGAGGACAGTGTTAATCCTGAGTCAAAGCAGATCCCAGCCCTTTGTTGTGTTTAAATGTCTTCGAAGACCTGGTGACTGTATGTCCCAGCTTGATTGTCCAGAAACCTGCATAAAGCTCCGTGAGCTGTGTCGGGTCTTAACCAGCACTTCCCTCTCCTCTCAACCAGCACGTTGTCTTTGCAAATCGATTTTTAATTGTGAGTCAGCTCTTGTTTGCTTAATACTTCCATAGCCATCATATCCTGATGGCAAGACAAGAAATTTCATATGCGAAAGTAATTTCCAGAGCGAAAGTAAGTGTGGGGCTTCTGTGATTGAACAAACTTCTGAATTTAAAACTTGTGCCAGAGGAGTACCTTGAGGTTTGCTTGTAATGTGGTACCGTTTTTTGTTGGGGCTGGGGGACATAGGACAAAACCCTGCCTGTCTCAAGAAACCGCAGTGCTTTCAATTGTTAGTGGCTTATATAAAAAGAGAAATCATTTAAGTGTAAAGGATAGAGATTAATGAAAAAAATGTGGTTTCATTCATATTGCTTCCCCTCATTCATTGTTCTCTAAAGAAGCGTTGCCTGCTTGCCTTCCTCTTGTTTTAGCTGTAGATTATTCTTAGCACCAACAACTCGATCTGCATTTTTTTTCTTTCTCCAGCATTGCCATGGCAACTAAAGAAAATATGACTTCGCAGAGAGGGATGTTGAAGTCAATACAAAGCAAGATGAATACCTTGGCGAGTATCCTTTTCTGAAAATGCGTGTTGCCAGTGCAAAAGGAGAGGTATAGTACAGTTTTGCACTCTTGTCATTTGGGGATCAAAATGCTTTGCGGTGTCAATGGCTGTTTAACCTCTAGTGGTATTGTCAGTAGTGACAAGCAGATCATTTTTTAACGAGTCTCCCTTGATAATCTGACTGAAGCATCTTCATTATGAATGTGGTGAATAAATTGTTTTTACTCAAATTCGAATACTACATATAAATCAATGTAGCTCAATTTTCAGGCTCAGATCTGCAATGACGCTTTATGGCCTTCCCTGCTCTATGTTTATATAAAAGTGTAATTTCGTTTTACTTCTTGCTTTTTGCTTTCAAGACTGTCCAGAGTCAAAGCTTGGCATACATTGCTGCATGTATGTAGTATTCATGACCTGAGTATCCTCTTGTCTGTGACAGTTCTGCAGATGTTAAGATTTTGGTTTGTTGGTTTCTCCTCATATTCTATGCCAGACTGTCAAGTCATGCATGTTTGTTTTTTCCCACTTATTCCTTCCTTTCTGTCATAAGGGCCCAAAGAACCACATTAGCATCATTTGATTAGACAGATTGCATCCTGAAGAGATGTATCTTGGTAACCCATAAATTTCATTACAGTTCTTAGCAACTGGCGAGAACAAAAAAAAAATTCAATAAGCTTTGGCCCTAAAAGATTCTTGGTTCCAAAGACATGAAGCTCTGAAACTTATTATCTTGTTGGCAATTGTATTTTGTACATTAAAAGATAGATTTACATCTTTATGATTTTACAGTAGGAGGATTTCTTCCTTATGTTCTATACTTGAACAGTGCGTAGTCATGCAACGTGCATGATTTTTTCAGTGAAATGCCTTTGGTTGTTCCCTTCACCAGCAACAGAATTCCATTAAATAAATTCCACGGATGTTTTATATAACTGCCCCATTTTAATTTTTTTTTTTGTTCTCATTTAAACACAATTATTAAAAGTAACTAAGCCTCACATGGCAGAGATTAAAGTGTATCAAGTGCTGGTAGTTTAGGTGGTCAGGTGATGAATTCTGTGTAAATGTGGGCTGAGCTGTTCTCTCTTTCCTGATTGTCTGTTACTAGCGAAGCACGGTTGTAATCCTGCTAACTATCTACCAGGTTTTTTGCAGTAGTTCTGCATTTCTTGCAGTATTGGGATTTCCACGTACAGAATCTGGGCTTTGTTAGTGAAGATGCTGTTTACTGATGTGACCTTAACGCAGACTCTTTGAAGATCGGTTTCCAGCAGTCAACAGCCTGATTCAAAGGATCAACCTTCGGAAACGACGAGATTCTCTCATCCTGGGCAGCATTATTGGCATCTGTACCATCTTACTGCTGCTATACGCTTTTCATTGATGGATGTTCCCCCATGGACTCTGCCAGACTCATCACCACCATCCCTCCTCCCAGTCAAGGAGAAGTGAGTGGGGGAAGCGACAGACTTCAACCAGCCTGCGCCTTCTGGCTGGGAGTATCAGCATGATGTCTAGAGCTTGTGATGGTAGACTGCAACACCGGGTTTGGGTTGAAGCTGCAGTGTTTCTCTTCCCCTGCCATACATCTTCCTTTGGTTAAATTTTGTGGGATTTGTTTGTCTTTAATTCCCTTTCTCACTGCAAGGTAAGTAAATACGGGATGCTTACCAGAACCTGTAGAGCAGTTTCTGTACTTAGCAGTGCTGGGGAGGTCTGTTGGTGGCTGGTAAGTGGAAAAAGGTTACTACTCTTGCCTTGGGTGGAAACTCCACAGGAAGCCAGTTTCCCCTGTAGGCCAAGCCCAGTACTGAACACTTTCACCCCATGAGAAGAATATTGCAGCTTTAAGCCGTCAGGTTGCTTTACTACTAAATACATGTTCTGTAATTCTTTTTAACTCATGGTTGAGATACTAGTTATTTCTGCATAGTTTGTGCTGTGAAAACTGTGCTTCACACGAATTCCTCAAAGTAAAAAAAAAAAAAAAAAAAAAAATTGTTGAGTTCACTTTTTTGCACAGAATATGAATAAACTACACTCTGAGGAAGATTTGTCAGATTTCTTGTGGCTTTAAAGGGACTAACAAGTCCCCCTTTGTAAAAAGGGAGCACAGTGTCCTAGCAGCTGTTTACTATAGTGTTCAGTCATCTGAAAAGTGACCAAACATGAATTCACCTAAAAGTAGTCTTTTGGGTGTACATACTTGATTTTGGCTGGCATCGTAAAGGTCTTTATAAAGACATGATAAGCAGTTTGAAAAGTCTGTATTGTAATTTAGATAAAATTATTCTAATAGCATTAATATTTTTACACTGTAAGCAGGATGTAATCTCAACTGTCAATTGGAAATGAAAATTATGATGGTTATACCTGAGGCAAACGTATCTGCGTGCAAAATCTTTGGACATAACTCCTCATAGTAAAGAGTTGAATGTATGAGTAGTGGAACAAGTATTATTTACCATTATCCAGGGCGGGGAGGAAGAATTTTTTTTGTCTAGACATGCAACGTGAATCCCATTATGTTTCCATCTCTAAAGGAACCTGACATCAGGAATGGCTTTGATATTGCAGATTCAGAAATTACGGATTTTTCTGCTCTTTCAAACAGCTCTTTTCCATCTGTCATATCATAACCCAATGAATTCAAACTGAGGCACTGAAATATCTTTCTAGGAACTCAGTTAACTCTTTTCACAATCAATTTACAGTGCTCCTAACAGAGTTCACGTATGCCATTACCCACAAATGTCAAATAGCCTCCGGGTTCTCTTCTGGAACAGAGTCTAGCAGGACAGACACAATTTTTTTACTGCTTTTTATAGTGTCTGTGAAGTACCTGTTGGAGGGAGTAGAGACTTGTGCCTGTGTAGTGTGCAGAACCACACTGTTGCACCTAAAATGTTTGGATTTGAAGGCTTATTTGAAGACTAATAACTTTGTGCTAAAAAGTCGACAAAGACTTCTAAGGAGTCGTCGTTGGGATTAGAAAGCATTTGGAATTAATACGTGTAAAACTGTGGGGCTTGTATTTTGAATAAAGGGTGATTATTTGGTGGTTGATTTGGGAATGTTCCTGATTTGAAATGAAGTGTTCATTGAAGGGGGTTGTGAAAAACCTTGATGGATAAAGGCGGTTTATTAATGAATCTGTGTGGTGGGAAATCAAACCTCTTCTCCCCGATGCTTTTTCTTTGATTCCACCACCCCCCTAAGGGACCTTGATCAGCAGTCGTGCTTCTCTTTAGGATTTGTAGGATATGGTTGCTATATAGTTGGCAATATAAGATCTGCAGTTCCATAAATAAATTCATTTATTTAATCTTATAACCAGTCTTTTTACTGGATTTAATGGATTATTTGGTGCATATATTTAATCTTACTGTATGAAAAAGCTGCTATGGAAAATATGTAGATTATAATAAATATGTAAGCATAATTGATTTTTCATGTTATGAAAATGTTACGGAGGAACTGATATATTTTAGTATAAAAATAATGGAAATATGTTGAATTATCTCTGATAAAGCTTTACTGGAAGTGGTTTCAGTGTCGGCAACCCCTCCAAGGTTTTTATTTTTGTTGGTTTTGAGACAGAGTTTTGTGTTGAAAAATAAATTTAATTAACATCGTAGTTTCCCCTTCATCATCTTCTCGTAGTCCTCTAGCAAGGTGAGCAGGCGTTCTGCCTTGCTCTCTGATGTGGTGTGCTTGGATACAGCCGAGGGCAAAGACTTGCTAATTCTCCTGAATGAGAATTTTAATAATATTTGATAACATGGACCTCTAGGTAGGGCAGGGGACTGGCAATGAAGAGAGTGGATTGCAGTATTTAATCTCAAACCCCAAAATATGGGTTTGTATGTCTCCTGTTGCTAAAAATGTTCTCTAAGTTTGTCATTCTGTGTGGTTCCTCTTGCTCCAAGGAAAAAAACGTGGCTAAAGAATTCTCATTTCTGCACTCCCTGGCAGAGTTGCAGTTTTGTAACTCAACCAAATGGAACGGTGCTAAGAAAATTATTGCCAAGCCATCGAAATGAAGTGAGAAAACACGTAATATTTCTACAGGGTGTGTTTCCCACACACATACACACTCTTTTTAAATGTCTACTTTGTTCTTGCCAGTCCACAAGCACCTATTTTAGACCTGCCCCACACCCCCTTCGCTGGGCGTTAGAACGTAAAGGAGCGTGTTGGTAACTTTCGGTGCCGTGCTTCACACGGGCGCCAAAGTTTTCGTCTTTGCTTTTTGTACTATTTTTTTTTACACGTTTATGTGATCTTCAGGCACTGGTTGCTAGAGCAGAGGAATGGCATTTGGGCAACACCCGGTATTGTGTGTTCAGCCGATAGTGAGGGTTTACGTGGCCGCAGCCCAGACGGCAGCGTGACTTGTCCCCAGCCCTTGCCAGGCACGTTCTCTAGCAAGGGTGGAGGCAGGGCTCTGGGACCAAGGTAATGGCAGGGTTTGCCCTTCCTGGGAAGGCACAACGTTTTTTATTAACC